TTGATGATAAGTGGTTACAAATACCAGAATATAAAGTTTGGTTAATGTGTGGGGATACAAATACCTCAGCAAAATGTAGACTTTGCCCACATCCAACAAATATAATCGAACTGTCTAATATGGGTCAGAGAGCATTAAAAAGTCATTCAACAGGAAAGAAGCATTGTAAATATTTGTCTCTTCACTTAAAAATGACATGTTGCAACAACCACTTTGTCAGAAACACAGTTCAAGTTTCCACTCTTCAGTCATATGTTGTGTCAGATTTGGTTATTGATGCAGAGATCAAATGTTTTATCATAATTTTCTTTTCGTTCTAGTGATGGACTTTCAATTTTGTTAAATCAATGTTTCCTGACAGTGCTATAGCTGAAACGTTTTCTCTTCAAAAAGACAAGTGCTCATATTATATAAATTTTGGAATAGCTCCTCATTTTCATCAGTTCTTATTAGAGATATAGATAAGTCAGATTTTTATGCTGTTTATTTTGATGAAAGTCTAAGTTGTTTAAATTGGGCAGATGGATCTTGTTATTAATTATTGGGATAGTGTTTTAAACCGTGTTTGTACTTCTTACCTAGACTCAACCTTTATTAAATATAGTTGGATAAAAACAAACTTATTTAAATATCTATGGATGGCCCAAATGCAAATTAGGCCTTCTAGTCTGAGTTACAAAACTATCGTGCCAAAAATGACATTAAAAAACTAATTCCAACTGGATCTTGTGGTCTTCGTTCAATTCATTTATTATTCAAAACTTGGGAAATCAAAACAGACTGATAGAAATTAAAAAGATTTTAAAAGCTTTTTATAAACTTCTCCATGATTCTCCTGCAAGATGGGAAGACTTTACTGTTGTGACTGAAAAGTAATTAATTTCCTCTTCCTTTTTGTGGTACTTAATGGGTTGATGATGAAATGGTGACTTTAAGACCTGTTAATGTTTAGGAGAGCATTTGTAAAATATGTAGGTTTTTGGATTCTCTGCTAAAAGTATGAAAAGGATCCTCTAAATTTTATTTCTTTGCTCATATAGCTCATATTACTTTTTTTACCATATATTAATATGCTAAACCTATGGTGCCATATATTGACTATTAAAAGACATTATGTCAAAGTTCATTATAGCTAATATTTTAGATCAATGTAAAACTGCAAATAACCTCTGCAAATTGGATTTTACAAAAGAAAAAAGCCATATATTGGATGTGGTTCCAGTAATGTTATAAAGAATAAAAAAACAAATGATGAAATCACTCCAAAAGATTTTTATGCTTTCAACTACAGTTGCATGTTTTCTACAGTCGTTGACACGTAAGTTTGTGGAAAGATTGCCTTTGAAGTTTGCCATTGTGCAAAATGTAAAATGTTTTGACCCAGAAATAATGTGCAATGAAAAAATCTCAAAGGAAAAGATAAGTGATTTGGTTCAACTTGATTCAACTGCATTGGGTTACCCCAAAAGGTGGGGATGAGGTAAATACCAAATTCAAGAGATATTTAGAAAAGATTGTCTCTAAAAACAGGAAACTTTTCATGAATTTAACAAAATAGATGATAGATTGGATGAGTTCTTTTTTTCTAAAGTTGATAGTTTAAATGATTATCTGGCACTGGTAAAATTAATCATAATGGTATTGACTCTTTTTCATGGTCAAACAGTGGTTGAAAGAGAATTTAACATTAACAAGAATATGTTACAACCTAATTTAATGAGTAAATCATTAATAAGCCAGAGAATTGTGTATGACCATATGACTTAAACCCAGAATCTATAGTTATCTCTACAGAAATAAAAGAGTCTGTGAAAAAATTATGGAGTCAACAAAAGAATGAAATGGCTGCTTGATAAGAAACTGAGCTTACAGATGCTTGAAAGCGAAAAAGTGACTTACTTGCTATAGACATAAAGGACTTACTATCTAAAAAAGTTATTCTCGAAAAGGTAAAAAAAAACACTGAAAAGTGATTCAGAAGTAATTCTTGTGAAAGCTGCAAATGATGTTGAAAAAGCTCACACTTATTGAAGCAAAAGTTATTCTTGAAGAGAGGAAAAAGAAGAAAGAAGAGATTAAAAAATTAGATAAAGCAACTGATTAATTATTTAAGAAAAGTAAAAAAAATTTAAATTTTAAATATTAGTTTATTATTATTTATATGAAGTAAAATCTAAATTTATATAGATATTTAAAAGATATTTAAAAGTATATTATATAAATTATTATTTATTTTTGAAAAGATTTTTAATATTTATGTGGCAATACTTTTTCAGTCTTTTTAACAAGAAATAAAAATTTTGTTCATTCTTTCAGTATTATTTTTCTGAACCATTTGGTGTTTGCCTATTTTTCATCTTTTAAATATATGTTGATTTTAGCTTTACTTTTTACTTTTATATTACTCTTGAGTTCTTAATAAACGCCCCCCCCCCCCCCCGTTTTCCCCCGTTTATTAATTTTTAGATATTTTTCCCACCCACCTTAAGCTTATTAAGACACCCCCCCCCCCCCCTTCGTATATAATTTTTATACTATATAATTTTTACTTGTTATCAACAACCGATAAAAACAAAAACTTTTAGTGTAAACAGGTTTTACAAATTGTCGACCTATTAAATCTCGATATGCTCCCCCCCCCCCTCCCCAACACCATACACACATTCAGTTTCAGAAAAAATCTCTTCCCCCCCCCCCCTAGATTAAACCCCTCTCCCCCTCCCTCCCCCATCTCTTTTCCCTCCCCTCTCTCCCCCCCTTTCTCCCCCACGTTTATTAAAATTCCCACTCACTCATTTATTCCTACCCCCCGTTGTATTCGGCACTCGAGGGTACTTGTGTAATTCAGTTTATTTTGTTCTGAATGCTCAAAAAATGGCTCAAAACTCTTATGTACCAATTATAGTATCAATTTTATCTAACATTAGCAAGCTCCTTGAAAAACTAATGTATTTTAGATTATACTCATTTTTGAGTTCCTTTAACTGTTTAAATAAATTTCAGTTTGATTTCGATCAAAAGACTCTACTTGCCACGCTTTAATAAGTGTAACCGAAAAAATAAAAGAGACACTTGATACTGGTCATTTTGTGGGTGGTGTTTTTATCGACTTACATAAAGCGTTCGATATTGTTAATCATACCATTTTAATTTCTAAACTTGAACATTATGGAATCCGAGGAGTTGCTTGTAATTGGTTTCAATCTTATCTTTCAAATCGAAAGCAGTTTGTTAGCATTAATGATTACAAATCATATAACAAATATATAGTTTGTGGTGTTACCTAGGGTTCTGTTCTTAGCCCTATATTGTTTTTGATTTATATTAATGATCTAAATAACTCTGTCCACTTATCATCAGTCCATCTGTTTGCTGATGGTACTAATATCTTGCATATTAATAAGTCTCATCATTCCTTGTGTAAGGATATAAATTTAGACCTAATTGGTTTAGTTCATTGGCTAAATGCAAACCTCTGAACTTGGAAAAAACTGAACTAATATTTTTTTTATCTCCAAGACAAAAACTTTTATAAAACAATCATATAACTATAATTAAAATTAATAATAAATGTTTATATCCAACACATGTTGTTTTATATTTTTATAGATTCGAACCTTTCATGAAATTTTCATATAGATGCACTCCGTAAAAATTTAATCAAGCTAATGGCATGCTTTCAATAATTCGCCATTATGTTGATAAAACTACCCTTGAAAATCTGTATTTTGCAATTTTTCAATCTCATCTCAACTACTGTTGTCAAGTTTAAGGACAAATTGGTAACTAATATTAATAATTGTTATCAGCTCAACGCCAATCAATCCGAATAATTAGTTTTCAATTCCATAATACAAAAACTTCAAAATTCTTCAAAAAACTTAAAATTCCTACCTTGTCAGCACTTGTTAAATTTGCTAATCTTCTTTTTGTTTTTGACTCCCTTAATAAAAATTTACTTTCCTCTATTACAACCTTCTTCACTGAAACTCGATTTATACATTCAAATTTAACTAGAAACATCAATAAGAGAAAACTAAATGTACCTCCCTATAAAACTTTGAGGTATGGTAAGTATTCAATTACATATCAGTGCATCAGTGAACAGAATCGAAGTCTTATGTGCATTATGAATGAGCTTGAAAACTTAAAATTTCAAAATAATTAAATAAACATTTCTTTATTTAAAACAAAATCAATTTAAAGAAATTCTAAAAATGATTTTATTTTAATTTTTTATCATTATTAACTTCTTTTAGTTTTCTTATTTTTCTTTTTTCTTACTATTTCTATAGAAACTTTATTGTTTTTGTTATATATATATATATTTATTACTTTCATTACTGCTGTTTTTATTAATATTATTGCAATGACTATAAATACTATTATTTTTGCTGTTACTTTTGTTTTTTTAATGAATAAAGTTATTGTTATTTAATAAAATTTAATAAAACGTAAAAATGCTATGTTTTTATTGACTCTATAAACTGTTTTGATAAATAGCAACAAAAACAACAACAACAACAAGGTATATACTTTCCCCAAAATTTACAATCATATAATTAAAAAAATATATTAATAATAATAACAATAATAATAGTATTAGTAATAATAATAGTAATAGCAATAATAACAATAATAATAAAAATAATAAGAATAAGAATATCTATAATATTTTAAATAATAAAATCAAAATATAGTTAAGAATAAAGATCTAAAAAATAATAATTTTTTAGATTAATATTTTTAATATAATTATTTGGTGTCACTCCTTTGATCAGGATTCTGCATGAGTGAATCCTTTCTCAACCAATTATTTATCTTTATTCTTATTCAAACTAAACAAAGTTTTTCAAAATTGGAAGAATATATTACTTTAAAGATAATAATATTTTTTTGCATATACTGTTCGAAAAATATTTATATTTTTAAACACTCATTGAGTTTAAATATAATTATTTTTATCTCTTCATTACAATACTAATTTTAATTCATTCTAGATTGCAGTTCAAGAATACGCAAAAAATCGGCAATGTATTGCTTTAGCATTCTTTATAATTTCTTGTGCTTTAATCTATAATAATTTATAATTTTTTTACATTTTGTGACTTAGTTTTGTTTTTTTTTTTTAACGAAATATTGATCTACATGAGGCAGGCATTTTCAGCCTTATTTTTATCCTGATACGAGCATGTGTGTTTCGATTTTTTTTTTCTGAATTTTACAAGCAAAACTAAATTAATTTTGTATACTTTTACTTTGTTAACTTTGTATACTTATATATTAAACTTTATTTTTTATAAAAAATTTTTTTTAAAGTACTAAATTTATTATCCAGGTAAGCTTAAACATGCACGCATAATTGTAATTGTTATATATATTTATACACGCACACATATATTTGTAAATGTATATATTTTCACGTGTTTATTTAGTTAAAGATTAGATGGCACTTGGTTCTTTGTTGTTTAAAGATTATTGTTTTGCTAGTAGAATTTTTTTTTTTAATTTTTTTACGTTTTGTAACTGTTTTGTGGCTTTTTTTTTTAACGAAAAATCTTCATGAGATTTAGTAGGCATTTTCAGTATACTTTCAGTTCTCGCTCGTCTCGGAAATCTCGGTCAATTTCAATCTCGGTCTCGGAATGAATGTGAAAAAAAGTTGCAATGATTCGGTTTAAAGAATCCTCAGCATAAATTGCCTCACAAGTATCTAATTTTACATATTTTTCTAATAGAAATACATAAAAAAAAAAAAAAAAGCGTAAATTTCAAAGGTTTTCCTATATTTTTCAGTAATTTCAGTTTTAATTTTTTTTTTTTTTTCAATTTTATAAACTAAAAAGGAAGTATAGTAGTTTTGTTTATGACATTTGGCAATCGCAATCTTCTGCTTCTGACAAACCCGTAACTATAATCTTGCTCGAAAATGATTGACTCGTTTTTTAAAATAAAACTTGCATAGACTTACAAAATTATTGCCAGGTTTTAAACAAGTTGTGAATCCATTGGTGCAAAAGCTGATTGAGAGTTAAACCAAGGTTAAAGCTCTAAAAAGCGTCGAAAAAGTTCGTCAAACAATTTATAGCTCAGCAGCGTATGTGAAGGACAAAGTTATGAAGAAAATATTGCTGATAAAATTCATTAGAGGAAACCTATCCTATGTGATTGATAAGAAAACATTTAAACAAATTAAAATTATAAACAATAAATATATTTTTGGACCCAACAATTATTATTAAAATCTTGATATAATCAAAATGGATGTGTATGGATCTTGATATAATCAAAATGGATCTTGATATAATCAAAATGAATGTGATGCTAAAACGTTGTTGAGGTTGCAAAATAATCAAATAAAAAAAACTTTAGACATTGACCAAAATTGCATTGGTTAAAGTATGAATGGGGTTACTAAAACCGGCCCTCTCTCACAACGAATTAATCACATTTGCTAAGATCAATCCACCATTGTGTGAAACGAACACTAAAACAAAAAAAAAGACAATTACAGACTTCAATCTAGCAAATGATGATTTATCATTCCACCAGAGCAAAGAATAATCAGATCATGAAAGTGTCAGAATGCGCAACTCAGAGTTCTTGTAACGCTTAGTTCAGTAACAAACGGAGAAAGTAATGTGGATGCAAATTTTGATGAAGAAAATGAGCAAGCATTGTACTATAGTAAAACTCCCGTTCATACATAATCTTAAACTATTCAAAGAGTTTAAGGGGAGTACAGTAATTAAAATCGAAAAAATCATTTTTTTAAAAAAATTCATATTTATATCAGTAAAATCGAAGTAAATCCTAATTTTTTCTTGAATTGCAAAAATAAACTTTGGTATCTGCATCTTATTTTTGTTTAAAATGATTCAGTATCAATTTTTATCCATTGCAGCGTTTTAATTTATCCGTTGCTATGCATTTTTGCAATGAAATTATTCCACAAAATGCAATAAAAACTCTGTACTGACTGTTTAAAACAAAGTACTATTATTCAGCTATCGTTTCTTGTTTATTGACTCGCGTTCATTGAGCTATTTGAATTACTATATGTTCTTGTCAAGGTTATTCTTGGCTTTATACCTTTGTTTATATTTAAATATCGTGTTTAAATAAAAGTGCTATGGATAAAACAAAAAGAAAAGTATCGTGAAAAAAGCTTTTCCAAATGAAAAATCAAAGTTTCATGAAAACGGGGATACAAGGGTTCAAAAATATTTCTAAAGAAACCACTGCTATACTTTCAGACTGAAGTTCAATTTAAAATACTTCCTCCTTCAATATGTTGTCGAACAAAGTAGTTGTTCAGGATTTTTAAAATATAAATGAAGATTTTATTATAAGAGTTATTTTCCCTAAAAACGTATTTATGCTTATTAAATGTCTAGAATGTGAAAATTTTATAAATTTACATTTTAGTTCTTCTAAAAAAGTAGACCTAAGTATACATTAAGGTTTTTGTCAAGTAGTTTGGCATAAACCACTTGACAAAAACCTTAATGTTGCAGCATTTTGTGAATTGGTTAAAAAATTAGTTTTTCATGCGCACCAAAAGGTTCATGGTAAAAATTCTTATCTAAAAAATTGGCTGGAAAATGATTTGCCTGATTTTTTTTAATTTTAGCTGTTGTGTATACTATCAAACCAATTTTTTATTATTAACTTTGTATTACTAATATTATTAGTAATATTAAATAGTTTTTGTAATCAAAATAAAACATTATCGGTGAGATATATAATGGTGAAAAATTATGAATTTTGTTTGTTTACTTTTTTTTCTTTCTTTAAATCATGTTTTTTGGGCTGGCGACGAAGATATTTTTAAAACTGATTTGAAATTTGGCCCACTTATTTATTGTATTAGTATTTACAACGTACACTAGAATAATCTTTACTGCTTCTCTCGTTTAGCATTTTTTCAAGATTTTGTGCCTTTAAATTACCCCATTTTTGCCTAAATTTACAGAAAGGCCAATCTTTTATTGAGTTTTAGATCCAACTTAAATCTGTTAGTCCACGCCACAATGACATACATAATATGTATTAAAATTTTGGCTGACGATATAATATCATCAGCCAAAACATAAAATTTCAAACATAAACTATGAGCGGTTGCTGCTCATAGTTTATGGTTGATGATATTATATTGTCACCCGTAGTCATTTTATCAACTATATAAAATGACTACGGGTGCTATGAGTGGCGATAACTCTGACTTGAACATTGCAAAAGGGACATAGGAATTTTTATTGGAGGGATTGCAAGCGGAGGAAAGTTTTATTTATGGTCGTTTGCTTAAAGAAATTGAAAAAGAGGTTCCTAAAAGGCGTCATCTTAACTTTTAGTCTGCTAAAATTTCTTAAGAGAGATTATTGAAGAAGCAAAAAGGCTTTGGCTTAAACATTTTGTCATTCCGTCCAGTAATGATGACAGTGAAGATGTTATAGAAATTTCATCTAAAGCTTAGCAGACAGTCAAATAGGTTCCCAATGCTTCAAAGTTACGTCTTCTCGCATCCCTCAAACGGTTTTGTCATAAAGTTAATCAAACCGATGTGAGCAAAATTTTCAATTTCAGGCAACCATCGCACAGTCGGACGTTTACATACAAAAGGGTGGCCAAAACTACTTTCTTAATACCTGCACAAAGCTATTACTATTTTATTATTATGTATTTTGCCATAAAGAAAATTTTTATATATACACGGCTAGGACATAAAGAAGACAAGTTTAGCCTTATCGCAAAGCCCCTTCAAAACAAGAATAGAAATAACAAAAAAAAAATATTACTGTTAACACATTTTTTTTTATTATTCTTTATTACATTTTAAACAACATTCCGTTATAAATATACAAATTAAAAAATAAAATATAGAAGTTACAAGAAAATAACAACAACAAAAAAAAAAAATCGTAAATAAGAAATAAAAGAACGCGGGGACTCGTAGAAGACCGGAAGGTCTTGTCGTCGAGAACCGCTAAAATGAACGTGATACAAACAAATTAAAAATATTCAGAAAACCCGTTATAAATATAAATATCAGTTATATAAATACTATATAAGTTAATAAACATATAAAATGTCGTATATATTGATACATATTCTTGGTAAATATATAAATTATAAAATAATAATAGTTCTTTGATAAGTGGAGGTAAAATGGGAAAACTATTAAAAATTATTAAAAGTAAATTGATAGATCATCAATTGTAAAAATTAATTCTTTTAACTTTCGTTTAAAAGAGTTACAGTTACATTGTTGGATAAAATCTTGAGAAAAGTTTTTTAAGACAATTTTGTTCCATAAGAATGGTCCGCGAGAAGTAATGCAGAATTTGCTCAAGTTAGTTTGAAAAAATGGCTGCTTAATAAAATTGTTATTGCGTAAAAAGTATTTATTTTTATCTTTTGACATATACAAATCATGGAAAGAAACTGGTGAAGAATTAGTTTTACATTTGAACATAAAACAAAGAGTATTATAAACATTGAGTTGATATACATTTAAGGCGTTCATTTTTTTTAATAGAGGCTTTGCATGAGTAAGACGTTCACTAAAATGTATTAAACGTGCTGCATGCTTCTGATGACGATAAAGAGGTTCAAGTTTGCTTTTATTGGTGCAAGCCCATGCAATGTTTGCATAATTTATATGGCTATGAATAAAAGAGAAATATATTTGAGTTAAAATTTTTTTATTTAAAAAGTTTCTTGCTTTATATAAAATTCCTAAACTTTTTGAAGTTTTGTTATATAAATTTTTAATATGATTTTTCCATGAAAGATTATCATCAATATAAACACCTAAGAATTTTGTAACGTTTACTCTAATTATTTCGATGTTATCAATAAAAGGGGATGGCATTTCATAAGGCAGTAGTTTTTTCTTAGAGGGCGGGTGAAAGAGAGTTCAGTTTGTTTTTTGAATATTAGGCAATAATTTATTTAATTTAAACCAGTAAGATATCTTGTTTAATTCTACATTCATAAGTTGAAACAGAGTAGTGATGTTAGTATGAGATAAGAATAAGTTTGTATCGTCTGCAAACATGATTGTTTTTAATCTGGATACTTTATAGAGATCGTTGATATATATAAGAAAAAGAAGAGGTCCGAGAATAGATCCTTGAGGAACACCACAAGTAATTTCTAACAAACTTATTGGAGAAGAAGCGTCAACGGTTACAAATTGTTTGCGATTACTTAAATAACTTTTTATCCACTTTAAAACATTTCCAGTTATTCCGTAATTTTTGAGTTTTTTGAAAAGAATTTTATGATCTATTGTATCAAAGGCTTTTGATAGGTTGATGAAGATGCCTAAAGTATATTCGGATTTCTCGAAAGATGCTGTGATACTACGTGTTAGCTAGAGAATCGCGTGTTCTGTAGAGTTTTTTTTTTTGAATCCATACTGGTGGTTGAATAATAAATTGTTGTTAGTTAAATGAGTGTAAATTTTGATATAAATAATTCTTTCTAAGACTTTAGATAAGACTGGAAGAACAGAGAAAGGGCGATAGTTATTGATATTTGTTGTCTGCTCC